CCACTCTGCAGCTCTCTCCTGCACGCTGAGAAACCACTGCATGTTGCGGTCCGAGTCCCTTTTGATCCGCGCTGCTCTTCCCCGCTTGTATCGGCAGAGGCAGCTGGGACTGGTAAGGACACAGACCGCAGCAGCCGGCGCCAAGGTGGAGAAGAGATGAGGTTGAAGAAGCTCAGGATGGAAAGCAGAGGATCGGTAAATGTGAAATTAAATTTAAACCAAGTTCAGGGTCTTTTTAAAAACTATACGCAATGTTTTTATTTGCAATCAAAGATCTCCTGGATTTACAAGTCGATATCAATGAGAAAGTGTGGCACAGACCAACTTGGTTACCAGCAATCTATTGCACAACACTACTTTTTTCAAGCACGATGTGGAGCATCCTTTCTCAAACAGACCTGCAGATGTTTATAGAGCAGTGGAGCAGGTGGTATGACCTCCTGTCTGATGGTGCCCTATTAGTTCTAACACCAACACCTGTTGACAGAGCCAGAGGCATGGGACCAATTGAGCTTTCTCCTTGTTTCTCATGTTAGCAACCACTGACACTAATGAACATAGCACTGTTACCCCAATTATAACCAAAGTAGTTGCGCTAGGATCTAGTATTACAGAGATTACCAGCTGCAGCAATATCTCTCAACGTGATCAAGTGTGGGCCGGTGTGCTGCGCTTGGTTGTATGTGATCCGCTTTTTAATTTATAAATTGTGTAGAAATGTGAAATATCACAAACTTAATACAGTGCCAGTGATCAAATCCTTATTTCAACTATATAGTTGAATGCATGTCAGAAAAAGAAATAGGTGCGTACCTAAGTGAATATTAGATATTGGTTTGAATTGGTGATAAGTGATTATAAGTATAAAATCAAATAAATAATTATATTGTCGTGTGATATTTATATTGTGAGAGATGAGTGTTAAAAAATCTAATATGGAAACTGGTTTAAACGAGTGAATTAATTCCGTCTGATATTCAGTAATGATAGTCACTTGTTTAGACAGCCGAAGGGTGCAAATCAGTGTACAAAAAATCCTTATAAAAACCACATCTACTGATATAAAAGGTGAATATAATCGTGCAAATATAAAAAAAAAATTTATATATAACGGGGGTTCTGAACAGTAAGAATCTATTATCCTCCAAACTGTGTTGGAAATCCAGGGGATAAAAGAAGAAAGAAGGAAAAAGACATCAAAAAGAAAAAAGGGGGAGTTACTCCCTTTACATTACAAAGTACGTTTTAAGTGTAAAGAAATGGCATAAGCATCCTACTCCTGAGGCCACTTTGTATCAAAGTATCTGTACATGAACAGTATCTTTATGTAGCCCAGATTTTGCAAGAAAGCAAGGTCTTGTGATCAAAGGGCAAAGGAGTTTAAGAAGCAATGGTTAGACGAATGATACCAAGTGTCTTTTACTTGTAATTCCGTCGGTGAGTCCTACGAGCAAGAAACGCTAAATATCCTAGGAGACCTGGATACATACAAAAAATTAAATAAAAATCCAACCTTAGGAATTAGGAAACAGCTCAAACAATTGTTGGAGGGACTGAAAAAGAAACTTCTAACCAAAAAGGAGTATAAATATTTGCTTCCCACAGTAGGAAGAGTCCCGGTTATTTATTTCTTACTCAAGATCCACAAAGACCCCATCAAACCACCAGGAAGACCAATAATTAGTGGTATAAATTCACTAACATCACGCCTGGGTGAATATATCGATTGGTTTCTGCAACCATTTGTCAAGCATACGAAAGCCTACCTCAGAGACAGTGGGGAAATCCTTAATATATTGGCGACTATCAAGTATGAAAACGATATGAAGTTAGGAACCATAGATGTAGTATCTCTGTATACTATATATATACCACACAAGAATGGGCTTGAAGCGGTGAAATGGGGTCTAACAAAGTTTTCTGGATTGGAAGATACACAAATTTATTTTATTAAATGCATAGACTTTTCGTTGAAGAATAATTACTTCTGGTATCGAGGGGATTTTTATACCCAAATAAAAGGGTTGCATTGGGGGCCAAGTTTGCCCCGAGCCTTGCAAACTTATTTATGGCCAGATGGGAGGAAAGTGCAATATACGAACAAAAATGGGTAGAACTACAATTGTGGAAGAGGTATATAGATGACGTGGTCATAATATGGAAGGGAGATGACACCACACTAGAGCAATTTCTTTCATACATTAACGCCAATAGAGAGGGTATTAGTTTCACCTATAAATTTAATAAAGACAAAATAGACTTCTTAGACCTAACAATACAAGTAAAAGGAAACAAATTTACTACCACTGCCTATTTCAAAACCACCGACCGAAACGGCTATATACCTATGGGGAGCTGCCACCACCCGTCTTGGATAAGAGGAATCCCTAAAGGACAACTCGTGAGAATGAGGAGAAACTGCACACGAGTTGAGGACTACGAAGAACAGGCTAGCATAAGCCAAAAAAGATTCATGGAAAAAGGATACAGTGAAGAACTAGATAGAGAAGAAATGCTACAGCCGAGACCATGTAAACAAAAAACAAAAAAGAAGAACAACCTCTGCTTTTTATTACAGAGTTCTCAACCCAATATAAAGAGTTTGAAAAGATACTTCAGAAACATTGGCCTATCCTAATGAGGGACAACATTCTAGGACCAATGATCCAGAAAAAAAACAAAGGTCATATATAGGAAAGCCCCTAATATTAAAAACCAGCTAGTTCATAATGTAGTTGACCCTCCCAAAAACACTTTTTCGTTTTTTGAAGGGAAAGGCTTCTACCCATGTGGGAAATGTATAGGATGCACAATAACTGTGCAAAAAAAAGAAAATAACAGACTTCCAATCCAATTTTAACAAAAGGAGTTTTAAAATTAGGGATTTTATTTCTTGTAAAAGCACACGTCACGTACATGTTAGAATGCCCCTGTGATCTCCAATACATAGGGAGAACCACAAGAGAACTAAAAATTAGGATAAGGGAGCATATTAATAATATTAAAAAGGGAAAAGTGGATCATAGTGTGCCAACACATTTTAAAGAAAAGCATGGTTGCAATGCTAAGGGAATAAAATTAATGGGGTTGGATAAAATAAAGAGACACTGGAGAGGCAACCATATGAAAAGGGAAGTCTCCAGAAACTAAACAAAATGGATTTTCCTGATGGAAACTATGACCCCGAAGGGTCTAAACATAGAACTAGACCTAAACTGTTTCCTGGCTGATGATTAACCTCCAATAACAAAGGTGAAGTTGGAAGGGTAATAACGCCCTTATGATGTATGTTCTAAACTGTTATCTTGACAACAAAACACAATAAAATCTTTGTGAAAGAAATCTGCTAACAGCCCAATATCAATTGACCACCACTTCCGACCTCCGATTTTACAATAATGATCATCTTATTAAATCCTAATTCACCAACTTTACTAGTCAAGAATATTATTAACATACGGTCCAGTGCCCTATGAGACCAACTTTATATGAATTTATATGATATTTATAATGTTTTGAATTACTCAAACAATTCTCTCTAGATATATTAATAGTGTTCATAATTTCATCCCTAATTTTTACATTTTTAATGCATATACTTTTCATTGGTTATCCTACTTGAGATGTTCCTATAAGAGTATGTAAGGTTTCCCCCGCCATGCCCAATATCTGGCTATGATCTTCTAGTCCTATATGGTGGCTTGCGTTTATAATCCGAGTTAAAATCGTATTGACATATCCGCAGTTCTACTACAATTTTTCAACCGCAAATATACCAATCTTCTATTGAAAAAATTCCCCCTTGCACATGTACATAATATTTTCATATATACCAACGGTGACTGCCATATCATTCAGATAAGCATATTAGTCCATTTAAATCGCTGATTTTACATATTAATATTCAGAGGACTACTTAACCTCTCACTCACAAGTATTTAATCCTAATTTTTGGTATAACCTCTAGTCCCCAATTTTTATCTTTTATTTTTCATTCGTTGCCATGTTTTGTAATTTGGGTTATAATTCATTGATACCGGATTTACATGCACTAATGTGCACATATTTCTCTCATAGCTCTTTTACTTTGTGCTTTTAATGCTCAGATGTTGCATATTAATGAGCTTTTCAAATAATGTATCATTTTAATAATGATCTATTTTAATAATGTATTTATTTTCAATAATGTGTTTTTAACAATGTATCTATTTGCATATATTCCAAGGAGACGTTGGAACAACGATTGGGAAATGTTTCAGGCTAATTACCGCACTCACTGAAAAAGCTGAACTGAGCTGCGGTATATCGGCCAGCATGTTAGAGGAATATATGTCAGTCAGTTGAAAGAAGGTGTAACTAGACTATCTGGGCTATATAAGCTCCAGTGTCAGATAGGAAACAGTACCCTTTTGAAAAAGTCTTTAGGACGAAACGCGTAAAGGGAGTGCTTCGTTTCCTCGCTGACACCCTGGGAATATTCTCTACACAGATTGCATATGCTGGTTTATCAACGGAAGTTTGTAAGCGCAATCATTTTAAAACATTTTAAAAATAAAGGACCTTGCATCTGCACTTAAATTCTGTTTTTCTTCTATGGTTTGTTC